TTTTTAGTTTGGAGCACAGTGTTTAAATGAAGGGAGGAGTTGTTTTTGCTGCCAGGCTGGGCTGAAGGGGTTTCTGTGGTGTGGCTCAGCACTGGAAAGGGGCAAAACTTGTTGGGCAAGGTGAAGTGGCAACCAAAAGTCAACACAAGGCACAGATTGGCATTCTCAGGCGTTAATAATTCAGCAGGTTTTTTTTCCTGTTAAAATAAGAAGTGGGGATTTGCAAAGCTCACAGAAATTTATCTTCAGCACAAGGTTCTGCTATAAATAGAGCAGAGTGTCCCTGCAGGTGCCCAGCAGGAATGAGCCAGCCCCAGGTGCTCAGGTGGCCTCTGAGCACCCAGAGCCGCTCGGGCAGCAGCTGTGCCAGGCGCCTGCAATCTGCCCCTGTCGCTGTGAATAATGCATGGCCTGCTGCAGGGGTGTGTCCTGGGAGACCCCGGCTGTGTCCTGTCCTCTGGGGAGCCTGGGTGTCCCCCGAGCCTCCCTGGGTGTCCCCGAGCCTCCCTGGGTGTCCCCCGAGCCTCCCTGGGTGTGACCGTGCTCACAGGGGTCCCAGGATGAGGGAGGAGATGAGGATCTGACTCCATGGTTCAGAAGGCTGATTTATTATTTTATGGTATATATTACATCAAAACTATACTAAAAGAATAGAAGAAAGGATTTCATCAGAAGGCTGGCTAAGCTAAGAATAGAATAAGAAAGAATGATAACAAAGGTTTGTCTCAGCTCTCTGTCTGAGCCAGCTGACTCTGATTGGCCATTAATCAGAAACAACCACATGAGCCCAATCCCAGATGCACCTGTTGCATTCCACAGCAGCAGATAATCAATGTTTGCATTTTGTTCCTGAGGCCTCTCAGCTTCTCAGGAGGAAAAATCCTAAGGAAAGGATTTTCCATAAAAGATGTCTGTGACACCTTGGGCTGCTGCAGGGTCACTGCAGCCCCAGTCAGAGTCCATGGCATGGAGAGGATGGAAAATGGGCTGTGCTGGTGCCCTCCTGCCATGGACACACCCTGGGGCTGCTCAGGGCTGTCCTGGCTGTCCCTGGGACTTTCCTGGGCTCGGTTTGGTTTGGTTCAGCCCAGCAAGGCTGGCTCTGTTATTCAGAGAATGTGAAACCCGGAAATATTCTTGGGAAGAATTGTGCCTTGCTTTTCTCTGTGAGGAGAAATGTGGAGCTGCAGGTGTGGGGCACAGCTGGGGGGTTTGCAGCCTCTGTGATGCCCTGAGGGGCCATGGGCACTGCAGTGCCATGGCATGGGGCACAGCTGGGGGGTTTGCAGCCTCTATGATGCCCTGAGGGGCTGTGCCATGGGGCACAGCTGGTGATCCTGGGGGTTTGCAGTCTCAGGGATGCCCTGAGGGGCTGTGGGCACTGCAGTGCTGTGCCATGGGGTGATCCTGGGGCTTTGCAGCCTCTCTGGTGCCCCAGGAGCCCTGGGCACTGTAATGCCTGGCCGTGCTGGCAGCTGTGTCCCTTCCAGGACGGTGACACGGACAAGAAGGACCCGTTTGAGGAGAGTGGGCTGAGCCTGAGCCCCACGGCGGCTGAGGCCAAGGAGAAGGTGAGGGCCAAGCGAGTGAAGAAGCGAGCGCCGCAGATGGACTGGAACAAGAAACGGGAGATTTTCAGCAATTTCTGAGCCCTCCCTCCCGCCCAGCTCGGACCTTTCTGAGGTGCCTACGCCTGTCCTTCGGTGTCCACGTGAGATGCTTTGTGCTCTGCTCTTCACTGGTTGCTTTTACAAGGCGTATTTTAAAGCCCTTTTTATTTTTATTTTTTATTATTATTATTGTTGTTATTATTATTATTATTGTTACTCACCAGCGATTCTCATAAGAAAAATGTGACCAAAGCTCCTTTTCTTGCTTGCTCTGAGCCTGGCTCCGGCTGCCTGCCGTCCCTGTTCTATGAGAAAGGACTGGAAGAATTTTAACTCTTGTTTCTTACCTGCAGCATTTAGGCTTCTGTTACTTCTTTTTTTTACTTTTTACGTGGGGTGTTTTGGCTTTGTGGGTGTCCCAGGCTGAGCCCCGTGGGATGCTCAGTGCCCCTGTTGGAAGCATCTCATGGCTCATGGTGGGGGTGCCAGGAACCCCCTCCCCAGCTCCCCAGCATCAGCTGCTCCCACCATGGGAAAATGGACTGTGGCTGGAAATTGTTTGTTGGCTTTGCTGTTGAAGCAAAAATATTTGTTTTGTTGGGGTTTTTTTTTGTTGTTGTTTTTTAATGAAGTCCATGTGTTTCCAGTTAGTTTAGGAACCTCCCCCTCAGCAGCAGCTCCTGCCCAGGCAGTAAAAGCCCATTAAAAGCCCATTTTCAACCCAAGCAGCTCTGCAGAGGGGGGAGGGTTTAAAAGCAAACCCCAAACCCTGAGAACACAGCTGTCCCCCCCTGCAGCTGTGCATGTGGCAGGAGAAGGAGGAGCAGCAGGGCCAGCCCTGCCCCACGGAGCACCAAGATGAGAACCACGAGATGCTGCCAACCCCTCTGGGCAGGCCTGGCTGTGGGGCAGCTCCCACATCTGCTGCCAGGAGGGAGCCCAGGGATGCAGCTGGGTTGGTGTCCCCAGCCTGGCAGTGCCACCGTGGGAAGGACGTCCTGCAAAGGAATCCTCCAAAGGAATCCTCCAAAGGAATCCTCCGAAGGAATCCTGCAAAGGAATCAACATCCTCCGGAGCTCTGGGTGTCCCTGGGGCTGCAGGTGCAGCAGGCTCTGCTGTGATAGAGGGAACAGCACCCCTGGCCTCCTCCAAACCCACTCTGGCCATTCAGAGTGTATCTAAAGCACTACAGATGAGTCCATTTAAGCTCTTTATTGTTCCCTCTGGGTGTGTGGGTGAAGGTGGCCCAGCTGAGCTGAGGGAGCAGAGCTGGGTTACAGGGCTGGGGCTGCCCCACTGCTCCCCTGCCCCTGCAGGACCCCAGCCCTGCTCTGGGGAGGGACTGGGGGCACAGGGCCCCTGTTCCCAGCTGGGATCAGTGGATGAGGGCTGAGCACAGAGCTGTGGCTGTGCCCTGCCTCCCTCAGCCCCTCAGGGATGGAGGCCCTGGCTGGGCAGCGTGCTGTGGGTGTGGGAACGGCTCTGCACGGATTTCCCAAGGAATCCCCAAATTGTGGAGCTAAAGGTGCCTTATGCCATGCTCTGCTCTCCTCAGCAGGGGCTGGGGCTCAGCACAGGGTGTTGGGCTGCCCTGGGCAGCAGCTGGTGCCCCTGGCCTTGTGCTGCTGGCAGGAGAGCGTGGAGAGCCTCAGGGGTGAAGGAGATGAGTTCTCTTTATGAAAGTGATCTTTGAGGATTGTCGATGGGCTGAACAGGTAGGAAATAATGGCTTTGGAGAGGAGCTGGTGCAGGTTTGGCTGTGGGTGAGGAGACAGGACATGGGGGTGATGGGGATGTGGAGAGGCTGCCTCCCCTCAGGGCTCTGCCATTAACAAGACACCTCTTCCCATCCCACTTCAAGCTACCTGCTCTCTCTTTGTCCCCCAAAATACTGTTTTCTCTGTCTGGGTGATGTTTGGCAGGAGCCCCTCTTTCGCATGCTGTGCCCACATTGCCAAACCCCGGCAGTGCCCGGGCTGTGCAGGGCAGAGCAGCCCCAGGACACCCTGGTGCCCATCAGAGAGCACAGACCTGGTGTCAACGCCCCATTCCCCACCCCAGACTGCTGGACTTGAGGGGGGAAAGGAAAAAAAAAACCCTTGTGTAGTGTTGAATGTAGATCAAAAGAAATCAGGCGTGCAAATCCATGTTGGTAAGATTGCAAATCTTAATCTGTCAGTGCAAGGAAACTGCTCCTGGTTGAAGCATTACTGCATTCCTGACATCTTGTTGTAGCTCAGTAGTAATTATTCAGTTCCTGTACATTTAACTTGGAAAAGAAAAATCAATAAAGTCTAAGGCTGGCAGCAGCATTGCAAACCCATATGTACACTGTAATGTCAGTAATAAACTTGGTTTGCCATGTACCCAGCACTTATCTGCTCCTTCCTCAGCTGCTCAGGGAGCGCCGGGCGGAACTGCAGCCCTCCAGCACATTGTAAACTTTGCTTCCTCTTCGGAGAGGAGCTGGAATTACCCTTTGAAGCTCCACAATGAAGTCAGCACTGCCCTTTCTTTGAAGAACAAAACGCAGGGGTGGTGCTGTCCCTGCCAGCTCCTGGGGACACAGCCCGGCTCCCGTGGCTGTGTGACCCTTGTGGCACACACAGAGTGGCACTGCTGCTGCTGTGCATCACCCAGCACCCAGGGATTGCTCATCCAGCAGGGATTCCTCTGCTCCTGCCTTGGGAAGGCTCCAGGTGCACCTCGGGCTCACCAAGGCTGGAAGAGATCTCCAGGATCATCAAGTCCAACCTGTGCCCCATCCCTGCCCTTGTCCCCATCCCCGCCTTGTCCCCATCCCCAGAGCTCTGAGTGCCACATCCAGGCCTTCCCTGGACACCTCCAGGGATGGGAGCTCCACCACCACCCTCCTGTACAGCCCATCAGTGTTTAACAACCTTTCCCATGAAGGAATTCCTGCTGCTGTGCACCCTGGATGTCCCCTGGCCCAGCTCCTGTCCTGTGTAGGTTCTGTGGCAGGGCTGGCCAGGTTGTGCTGCCTGTTCTGAGCCTGGCAGAGCAGGGTTGCCATGGTTCAGCCCTGCTCAGGTCACCCACGTTCTCCTCCCCTCAGCCAGTGCCACACAAATGCCAGCAGACCTCGTGGGTGCAAAAAGCCCTCACCACCTTTATTAAACAATATTTACAAGCAGCAGCTCCCTGAGGACAAAGCTTTTCACTGCAGTGACTCAGAGTGGCACAGCTGAGCTGTGCTCAGCCATTCGGCCAGGCTGGAGCCTGCAGCTCTGTCCCAGCAGGATTGCTGCCTCTCCAAGCCCCTTTTCCCTCTGCAGAGCTGAGCCATGGCCGGTGGCTGTTCCTGGAGCTGCTGAGCAGGCTCCTGTCCCTGCAGCCACACTGCCAGCCCTGTGCCAGGCCCAGCTCCAGCAGGGCTCAGCCCAAGCAGCTCTGTGGCTCTGCCAGGGCTGGATGGTCCCTCAGGGTCTCCTGGCAGCAGGGCAGATGTCTTGGTTGAGGCACTGGCTGCAGCGAGGGCTCACAGGCAGGCAGGTCTGCTGCCCAAAGCCCACCAGGAGCCAGTTGATCTCCTTCCAGAGGTCCCTGCAGTGAGGGGACAAACAGCACCGTTGCCATGCAGCTTGGAAAGGTGAGAACAGCCTGTGGTGCTAATGGGATCCCTTTCTTTCCCCTTCTGTCTGTCCCTCCTGGAGTGAGGGAGTGAGTCCCAGCCCTGCTAGATCCCTGCTGGAACAGCCCTCCCAACCCTTCCTGGTCCTGCTGGGCTGGGGGAGCAGTGCCTGTGCTCAGGCACGTGCCAGGTGTGGGGCTGCCCCTCTGTGCCAGCTGTGTTTGATACTGAACATCAACCACCACTGAGGCCAGCATCCAGCCCTGCTGCTGTGGCCACTGGGCTCAGCAAGGAACAGCACCTGGCCTGGGTCATGCTAAACCTGGCAAGGCAAAAATCAGGGACCAGGAGCTGCACTGGAGGTGACTGATCCATCTGATAACAACAGAAACACCACACAGGTGAGATATTGCTGCTGTGGCTCTGGCAGGGGGGAAATACTGCAAGCCTGGAAGGAGCAAGGAGCCAAAATGCAGCCCCAAGCAGGGCTGAGTGCAGACACAGGGCCTCACCTGGGCAGCCACTCCTCCAGTGCCACCCGAGTCTGCTCGGGGCTCTTGGTCTCCTTCTTCACCCACTGGAGCCTGTTGGAGATCCTGTGCACGTGGGTGTCCACAGCTGGG